CTTGAATTCGCTAAAGCGCCGACGAATGACATACTCATGACTGAAACCTTCCTCTATAAGACCTCGCGGCGATGAGTAGGTGCTCGTGTTGCCGCGTTGTACGTGTAGTACGTACATCCACGCGTAGGTACTTGCGTCATGCACAACCTCAGTGATCATTACCTGATGCTGGGGCACAAAGCTTTCGTACGGCATAGTGTGTTTAATTTTATAAGGTAGAAGGTCGTACCTTGTGTTGCTACTGTCTCGTTGGTCGAACTGAGTGTTGGAAGTTCTAAAGTGAGTATTATTCAATGAGCCTGACAGACAGACGACAATGAAAGCTGATGCGAACTATGATCGACGACGAACGAAAAATGGGCAACCTCCGGCTCCTTGTCGACATGTTTGACATTTAAAGACGGACAGTGGATTTTCTTGATCAACAGGTGGCTTTATGAATGGGAATCATGGCGAATGTGCCGCCGTTGAGAACCGATTTGTTTCATGAATGGATTTCTTGTGATACAAAGAGAATATGATGTATGTACTAGTGATTTGGGCATCTAGATCAAATTCGGTCACACATCCCAGGTACAAAAACTTAAGGCTTGATTCATTAATAAACGGATACGCATTCAAGATTGTGAGCTCTATCTGCATCACATGGTGGTCCAACAAAGACGTACTCACTTTAAGATGAAGACGGAACAGCAGCCGAGTCTGGCTGCATTAGCTAATTATACCTGAAGACAGCCTGTCTCATTATCGCCGCTTGGAAGCCACCAAGCCTGGAGCTGTCAACGGCAGCATGCAAGCTACCATTTGATACATCTTGGTAAAGGTCTGTCTTACGTACAAGCGATAAGTACTCAGGAAATGAGTGGTAACATTTGCCAGCCTGTTTGTCCGAACGGAGCAGTAGCAATCACTGGGGTGGACAACAAGCCCACACTAAATTCTGACGCCAGAACACCGCAAATCCAAACACATTCTTTATATGTTTGTATTATACCATCTAATATCTTTCTACTGCAGGAGCCAGATCATTACTGAATAAGAATTTAGTAAGCATTATTATACGGGCATCGCCTTGGTTTTACAATCGAGTAATGTTGAACAAAGATTGCGGCATAAAACAAAGATCAGTTTGCAACAGTATTATGCTATAAACCAGCCTCATATCGTGTGTTTGATCTTGTGGTATATGTGTGTCGCCCACTTGGTCTGCAGAGTCGTCAACTCTTGCAATGACGTCCTTGCTCACCAATCAAGAACCATTGCTCTTTTGTTGATACAATTTTATAGCTAGAAATGTCGTTAGTGAAACTTTGACCAAGTTTTATATTTTGGATCGAATTGCTCTTCCCGAAGGGTCGCAAACTTACGCTGTACACTACTATAGTAGCTGGTTCATGGACGCCTTCCAATGCGACGAAGAGGTTTTACAAGCAAGACTCAAATTTCTTCAGCACAGAAAAGATCGCTACATGGTTTATCAAATATCTGAGAATTTAATGGAGCGTGTGCGTCAACGTAACACGCCTTACGTTGCGAATAAAGATTGCTATCTAATTCGTGTATGGATATATTCCATACTTTTTTAATCATTAGATTCAACGAGGTGCGCTATGTTGTCAAGGCAATGTAAAGAGTTTTAAAGCCCCTCCAACGGAGTTGTATTGTCAGGTATAAATATATGCTTCTGGCAAAAAGTAAGCGCTTACGGGCAGAATGGAAAGTAACAGGATACCAGAGGTATCACAATGAAAGATACGGTTGACTTACGAAACTTTAAAATTGCCTCAAATGAATGGGTGCGAGCCATCGCATCCCACGCTGCTGAAGGTAAAAGAAAAGAACGTTCCGTAAGAAAATCAAGAATGATATCTAAGTTTGCGATAGGTTCCACTTCTGCTTCCAAGTTTGTACTGGCTGGGACTTCTATCACAGACATAGGTATTTCTCATCTTTATAGAATAAAAGCTTTAACAAGTTTAGATATCTCCAGGTAAATCACCAAGTGCTGTATCAATAGATAGTACTAACAATTTTGCATCAGCTGCCATCTATTGACAGACGACTGTTTAAACACAATCGGATGCCATTTGCGATTTTTACACGACCTACTTTTAAACGACTGTCGTCGCTTTTCCAGTGCTGGACTTTGTAAAGTTTGGAAAAACTGCAAGCGTCTGCAAACAATATCTGCTCGCAGATGTCCAGGTGTTACAGATTCTGTTTTGACATGTCTTGCGAACACAAAGCGAACGTCATCCTATCCTCTCCGGTTTCTCGATATTCGACAGTGCAAAAATGTCACTTCGGCAGGCATTTCTCACCTTGCCAATTCTGTTGTGGATAGTATTGCCATGTTTCACCTGGCCGTCGACGATTGTCTGGGTCTTCGAAATATGGCTTTCCTTGAATTTGAAACTAGCTCCAGTCTTTGTTTGTTAAAGTCGCTTAGCTTAAAAGGACTCGATATCGACGAGACAGCCATTAATTGGATTGTCAAAGGGTGTAAATCATTGCAACGACTTGATGTTGGGCGCTGCAAACTGATCTCGGATTTTGCTTTGACCCTTATGGCACCATTGATCTCGTCGCCAATATTTGCCGAACTCAACTTGTCTGAGTGTCCTCTTTTAACTGATATGGGCATTCAAAATCTCTTCTTACTTGAAGAAAAAAAGGGGTTCTCAGATGATGATGATATACCACAGATGAGTATAGCCATGCTGAATCTGAAACAGTGTTTTATCATAGGGGATGAAGCGATGGTGTATGTGGGGAAATATTGTGGGAATCTGGTGAAACTCAACATTAAGGGGCTGAAGAAAGTATCGGATAGAGGAATTTCTGATATTGCCAAGGGTTGTCCATTACTTCGAAAATTGTCTATGTCAGGCCGAAGTGTCACATCAAGGTCATTTAAATTATTAGGAAAATTATGCCGAAATTTGGAGGTGCTATGCGCTTCAAAGCCACTAGACTTTGAATCCCCAACTTGTTTTATGAACTTTAAATTGTCAGAAGCAATGAGTTCAAATTCGCTACAATTGTTAAAGCGAATCGATCTAAGTGCAACGAATGTTTGTGATATAGGAGTAAGTGTATTGGCAAAAGCTTGTCATCAGCTAGAGAGCATTGATCTGTCCAAGGTAAGATACTTACTCCAGAATCATGAGTTAATATGATCTTAATATTTGATAATTGGAGCATTGTAGTGTGCGCAGATCACGGATGTTGCAACAGAAGCACTTGCTAGATGTTGTTTTCGGCTCCAAACTCTCCTTCTAGCTAACTCACGGGGTATAACTGACAGGACACTTATTGCTCTTGCACTCACAAACATTCCGCTAGAATTTCTCGATCTAACTGGAAACACTCGCGTGACAGATGAAGGTCTTCTCGTGCTGTGCACGAACTGTCAGCAAATCCAGAAATTGTGTATTAAAGGCTGTGATCGCCTCTCTCAGCATGTAATCAACCACTGCAATGCCAACTTACTGCCGTTCACTCAGCCATTTATTGTCGGTTTATCAACATTGACACTGGAACCACTACCAAAGGCGCACATTGCGCTACTTCAGTTACTACACACGCAGTATACAGCTGCTATCGTCCTGCAAGCGAATTTCCGTAGATGGAACAACCGAAATTTTACGATCCGATTTCTTGCTCGTCGTCGACTACTTCGCGAAACTAGAGCTGCTCGAAAGGTTCAAAAGTGCGCTCGGAATTTTCTCGCCTGGCGTCGATTCCTGTACTTGTTGACGCTCAGAGAAAGCATCGATAAGATCGTCTGCGTGCAAGCTCACGTGCGTGGTAATTGTGTACGTCGAGACGTCCGAATCTGGCGTTTTATTGCAAATATTGCAATTCGTCGAATTCAGCAATTTTACCGTGTACATTTTGTCGCGAATATGACAAAATTTAACTTCAATGCTCGTGAAATTCAACGTGTGTATCGTGGATATCTCGCTCGTCAACGACATCAGGAACTGATCCAAGAGCGCAAGATAAAATTTGCAAGGAAAATTGAGCAATGGTATCTTCGATGCTGTAATCATAGTGAGTTTCGTGAACGATCTCGATGGCTTGTTAGAAAAATTCGCAATGTTCAAGACCAGTGGCGAATATACAAGCAACGAAAACATTTCACCAAATACTTAAATAAACACCGTGAAGCAGCCCGAAAAATTCAAAGTGTGTGGCGTCGAAAGTTGGCGATGCGGTATGTATCAACTTTACGTATTAAATTCAATAGTGCAAGTCTCACTATTCAACGAATATATCGTGGTTATATTACTCGTAAACGTGTCACTTTGTACCGGACAATGGCTACAGCAGCGGCAATTGCGCTACAGTCGCAATGGAGACGCCACTGTGCACAAACTCTGTACATGCATCAACGGCGAATTATAATTCACACACAGCAATCGATTCATTATGCTCGAATTGTGCGGCGTTTTAAGCATATTATTCGTCAGGCCGTACACAAATATCACAATGATGCAAGTGTGGAAATTCAACGTATTTACCGTGGAATGCTTGGGCGAAAACGAGCTGTGGTCTTTCGTAAAATTCGCTATGTTGATTTGGTAACTAAAACTCGAAACGCGAGGCAAAAGTTCATTCAACAACAATTCATTGTTACCGGAGCAACGTTACGGATACAGTATTGGTTACAGAGCATTTTTAATCGCCAAAAGAGGCTTAAAATTATCACATGTCGACACAATCGAGCGGTTAAGTGTATACAACAGTACTTTAAAAAAAGTGTCAAATGTATAAAACAGAGTCGCACACTAGAAGCGAAAAGTCATGCTAGTGAGGACATTCAGCGTGTGTTTCGTGGATTGGTAGGCCGAAAGCAGTTTCAGACTCTACACCATCAACAGCAACAAATTCAGGCGGCTCAAAAGCTTCAGCGGGTGTATCGGGGTTACCTTGGACGCAAGCGTTATTATGAGATTTACAATGCCAGACTCCGTGCAGCTTTGAGTCTTCAGCGTACTTATCGCACTCGCCACGCTGCAAAACTATACGCAATAAGTACAGCTGTGGCAGCACTCAAGACAAAAGAGCAATATGATCGTTCTTTTTTCGGCAGGCTTGAAGCTCATCGCAACCCAATGATTGATCTCTATCGTCGTGCAAAATTACAGTCAGACAAGGTACTTCTAACACAGCTCAAAGACAAGTGGGTATCACATCGACTAGACAAGGAAAGAGCAGTTCGCAAGTTAAAACGCGAATGTGCTGCAGTATGGAAAATGGAAAACGAGGTCATGGAATCTCATTTTGCAGCGCGACACCAGCTTTATGGTGTTACAGAAACCGTGTACGCAACAAGTCGTGAGCTTGAACAGCAACAGAAGGTACAAATGTGTTTGCAAATTGAGTTAGCCGAATTGCGAAACTCGATTATACAATTTAAACGCGCCATGCGAAACGCTGTCGAGAAGAATCGGATGCTAGAAAGCTCCGAGGTGTTTGACCTATTAAAAGAGCACAATCTCGTACTGGAAAGACCCAATAATCAGCATAACAACTGACACTTTATTTCCAGATCTTATTTCGTCACGTAACCTTGGCAAAGATCTTTACTACGACATTCACTCACTTTCGCAATATATTGCCAATGACCATACCCGCCGCAACCCCAATAGAGGCTGTGGCCGCGTAGATCGCCAAATGCTCTGGAGTAGCATACTTTGCCTGTGCCTTCTCTAGTGCAACAGTGTGGCCAAACATACTTTTGTTGTACGACTCGAGCAACTGGTACGCATAGAAGTGCGCGCCACGTTCGCCTAAATCTTCCGTTAATACGAGATAAATTGGAATGGCTTTTATCGCTGGACTAATACGTCCCTTGTTAAAACACGCTTTGAGAAAAATATCCTTTTTGGTGAAATAATCCAGATTTTTGGGTGCAAGGCCACCCGTGATGTAAAATCCACCTCGTGGAAGATACTTAAGCATGGCACATCCTGCTTCACGACCGTACGCACTGTCAAAGCGCACAAAGAATTTAATACGATAAAAAAAATAACATTAAATTTGTACGGTACATACTCGACAAGAATCTCCATGGCTTGATTGCACAATTCGTTCGACTTCGCATTATCACCCACAATTTTACCTTGTAAGGATCCGGCCTGAAGAAACTCCTCGTGTACATTAGTGTCGACTTTGTCCGGATACTTGTTGGCCAAGAATTTATAGATGGTGGCCAATCCCGGACCACTGACAATACGTTCAACCGAAAAGCGGCGGTCGCAGCCCAAGTCCTTTTTGATGGAATTATACAGCTCAATTTCAATTTCGTCGGCCGGAGCAAAATCCGTGTGGCCACCTTCACAAGCAAAACACGAATAGTGACCATCACTTCCAGCTGTAAGGTAACACTCTCCCAGTCCGGTGCCTGCTCCAATTGTGGCAATTGGCATCCCTTCCTCCTTTTTCGCATCGTTGAGTACAATGTACTCGTGAGGTTTAAGAGTCAGGAGACCATAACCCATGGCAGCAAAATCATTTATGAGCTTTACAGTAGCGATACCCAGTTCTTTTTCAAGACTCGCTCCATCAATTTTCCACCCATCTTTAATGTTTGTAAATCTGTGATAGAAATTGAATAAGCTCAATTTAGACAGTCAGATTTCAAGAACAGAAGACGTACTCGACGGTATTGTTTAGGATCGGACCGGCACACGCCAGTACACAGGCCACAGGCAGGCGTTCCTGCAACTTTGCCTCCTTCATAAAGAGATGACACACTTCGTTGAAACTGGAATAATTTTCATTGTGATATTTCTTGGCGAATGTGATCTCCCCTGGAGCGACCGAGCCCTTAAAGGCTACGGAGCCCTGGGGGATGAGCCACAGTGAAAGCCGCGTGTTGGTGCCACCGCAGTCTCCCGAAATCACAAGATCACCACTGCATTAAGATAAAAGTTTGAGGGAGCGGTGAGTTTGATGTCAGAGCAAGATGAACGTACGACATGAACAAAGTTTTAAGATGGTCAGGAAGCTGACGCTGGGGGAAGACTTTCGATAATGGGAACCTTTGGAGACAACCTACTCCAGTTCAAGTTGCGGTAATATTTTAAGCAACGTTAATTGCGACGGGAAGACCAGATTGTCGTAGTGGGTGCTCCTAGCAACATAAGTAAAGCAACATGATTTGAAATCTAAAGTAGCCGGATATTGAACTATCTAAGCAAGCCGGATCGGCAGTATCCATAAGATCCAAATAAAATGTTACTGATGATCGTCATGCTGTAATTGCCCATTCCTTGTCGACGGTAACAAAGTGCTGATCAGGCTAGAAGAATTATATTTATACAATAAGTACCACATACATGCACCTTCTGCTGAGATAGAGTACGGGAGCTGCAAGATCTGTAACACGGAGCTGAAAGTTTGTAATGCAGAAGGCAAGCCTGATGACACCATACTTTTAAAGGATTAACTACCTTGACTTATATAAATGGGACTAAAAGCGCAGTACTGTATCTTCGTGTACACATATAGTACAATTGTAGAACAAAACAAGACGGTACAAATTTACGAAATTCACAATACACTTGTGTCATTGAGAATATTTATCAATGACACAAGTGTATTGTGAATAAGTACCGGAATATGGAATCATACACAAAGGTTATATTATAAAAAAGATAGAGAGAGGTAGTTTGGTCATTAACGACGACTAGTCGTCTCTTAAATCCTGAACCTGGTTGTCAATGTTGGATACCAGGGTCGGACGAAGCTTGTCGTGTGTGGGGACATCTCTTGGGGGATGTTCTTTAACGCTTATAAGCAGAGTAGAAGAGACGTCCCGTTTATAATTCGCTCCGAGTGCCCCCTATCGTGTGTGGCGACTGCTTGTTTTTTGCCTTGGTCCTGTGTAGTCTTCCTTCAATTGTTAGTCCTCTATGCTTAAAAACGACTCGTTTGCACTGTATCCAGAGCGTGCGTTGCATGATACTTTTCACATCCCTGTCCATGCTATTTCGTTCTGATCTTCCTTATCCGGGTGGCTCATGCGTAGTTCTGCTATGATCGCTTTGGACTGTTCTGGAGCTCGTTGACGTGCGCATTTTTTTAGAGATTGTTCAGTCTCCAGTTTTCAGATTTCTTCTATCAAGTGACAGATAAGCCACTTCCAGCAAGCCTGAACAGATGGATGAGCTCCAATATCCCCTTGGTATCGCGCCATCATTCGAGCTTCTGGTAAATGTCATCGACCAGACGTGCCGGATGATGTTGGTTTGACTCCTTGAGTGCTACTGGATAACAGGCCCAGGCTTGGTTTTCTGTTAATTCGTTACAATGAGCCCATAATTTGTTGTGACATTGATCCAGAGCCGCCAGTTGCCAATATGTAACGAAGTTACACGTACCCTCGTATGAAACGGCAGGTTGCTCAAGATGGTCTGACCGTACATGGTGTGGATTCCACGAGTTGGTGTAATCACACAGTCCCTTACAAAAAGCCACGTGGCAGAAGTAATTAGGCTATACTTTATTGATTAGGTTATACTATATCAATCAGGAAAACCTTAGGTTTTAGATATTGGCGGCTCTGTCGCAACTAAAGAAATCGAATACAGTTTCAATTTTAAACAAAAGAGCTCAATTACCTTGGCTAAGGTTTTTAGTAAGTACTCCTGGAGGCAGCGGATTGCGAACCGCTGCACTCGAACTGGTTCTTGTAAAGAACGTAAGGTCGATGACCTTAGCTTTGCTTCCTTCAAGCAAAGAGCTACGGCACACAATACCTCGCTTTTCCGCGTGTTGCAGCGTGTCCATTGTTTTGGTAGTGACTCCTCTTCACTTCAAAACGTCTTAACTTCAAGTTTCTTGCTTGTCTTCAAATTATGTTTGTTAGTCATTGACCGCGGCCATGCCCACAGAAATGCATGAGACCTTGTAAGAGCTATATATACGATACTTCCTTCCCGACGTTTTTGCTGTAGCGCCTTTCTATCTTTCGTGAGTCCCAAACGAGCATTTCCAATTCGTGCAACTGCCAATAGATCCCAAGCAGCTGCAAAATCGGCTTGATTGGAGCTTGCTGTAGTCCATCTGCCCTTTCTTGTCTTCGGACTACCGCACGCTCTACTGCTTCCAGCTTATATCCGTGCTTTAAAGACGGTGGATGCATTATAGCTACTGTAGTCCCTATTTGTAGTGTTTGTTGATGGTTAAGTGCTGAATACTTCGTCATTTCCCGATGCTCCAATGCTAAAGCTTTGACTGTTGATGACTTTTATACCATTTGGCAGGTATTATCATCGTTCATGCCCTCATCCAACTTCTATTGATATTCAGCGGTTCCACCGTGCATGGTGAAATGCTGCTGCACTCTCTGCTCGTCGGCATTGATCCCGTTTGGTCCAACAGCCTCGAACTGTCGCTCTGGTAGTATGACAGCCATTATGTTTCTCCAGTGGCGTGAGATCTGACTGGGGCTCATAAAATAATTATGTTTTAATGTTGATGTTCATTCATCCACGTTAGCACTGCGTTCTGACGATGCCACAAGATCTTGTGATTGTTGTTGCGACCATTGCTTGCTGTCGTCTGTGAGCTCTGCTGGCACTGTTTAGCTGCCGTGTAGACTTTATAAGTCATTACCTGGTGTCCTTATTCGTCGACTGCGCGCTTTGATACGACTGTGCACCTATAAACGCTGGCAATTTCTTGTACCCATGATTGACAAGACTCTTTGAAAGCCCAGGCCCGCCAAGCTGCTGAGTACTTGCCTTGTCGAAAGATAGATCTTCGGATCGCGTGCATTCATTTCTGTGTCTTGCAGGCATCGATTTCGATACATGACCAACTACATTTGCTGATTTGGGCGTGAAGAGCAAACTCAAGCCATTTTATGTTCAAAAGTCTTCAATAACGTCGAATGATTCGCAAAAGTTGCTTCCGAAGATTCCAAAGCTGCGTCTTGGCCAGGTGAGGTGTCTTGAAGACTGCTGCACTGAATTACACAGACAGCATCATGCTAACGTTGAAAAGGAGGACTCGGATAGTAAAGCTGTTTGGAATTTGAGCTGTAGTCTCTAGACGTTTTCGGATTGCTCATATTCTCCAGCTCAATAGATGTCTTTAAATGGCCTCATATAACTTGACAGCTTGCGGGTTTTCCTACTTGTAGAACATTATTGCCTTGCTTTGACTCAATTTCTACAGCTGTTTTAAGGAGAATAACTTTACTCTACGTTGGTTGGAGTTGTAGAGCGGATACGTCGTCAAATCTCTCACTGAGGTTATGAAACTGGTGGCTTCTTGTTAAAAAGGTGTAAGCCGTTCACAATGGCAGGGAAGATGTGTCGTCGGCTGAAAATCCTGGTATCTCTGTCTTCGATTGTGTCACCTTGGTGAATTTCTAAGTAAGCACTTCTGCTACGAGGGTTCGGAGTAATGGAGCTAAAGGATAATCTTGGTTAATCCCTGGTTTAAAGTCCAGAGGATCGGATGAATCACTATTGACGGAGAATCGGGCTGTTCTTCTGGTATGTGGCTTCTTTATCATGTCTATGAGACTCGACGAAAATTCAAATCCTGACAGCGTTAGGAACAAAACCTCTCATGATACTGTGTCATAAACGCTATCGAAGTCTAAGAGCAATAAAACTCGACTCATTTCCATTGCCACACCTGATTCTGCTTCAGCTGAAGCTGAGATTGCCAGATTCTTCATCTCAATTTTCATCACTTCACGGCCGTCTACAAAAACTTGTTGGGAACTTATGTATCGGCTTGCCCATAACGTTACGTGTCCTGGCTGCTAGTACTTGTGCATCCTGTTTGACTGTTTGAGTCCATTGCGTCTTTCAAATCTTCTTTTTTCTTGAGCGGGATAATCAAAGCATGTAGGAAGGAGGGTCGTGAGAGGTTGCCTTGAATCAGATACATACTGAGATCTTTTAGTGCGAGCGCTGAATTTGCATCGGTGTTTTCATATTTACGCGGTACGGCTCAGCAGCTTTGTGACGGTTGAGTGGTGCTATTGCTGTACTCACTTCTTCCTCTGTAAGGGGTGCCATGCAAACGCTGTTTTTTCGTCGCGAGATTCATTTTCGGAAACTCCTGATCGGTGGACATGCCCAATGTGGCTATAGTTTGATCACGTTGGTAATTTTGGCTGAATACCCATTGCAGCCGTCCTGTAGTTTGTTTGAGATGTTCTCCCGCGCGACAACTGCTCTTAACGTTATTCTTCGGTTCAGACTGCTATAATTTCGGTCATTGTGACTACGTGAACTCAGTTTTGAATATTGTTATAATGCTTGGAAATTTATCGTCTGCATCTTTCCATCTGGAAGATAACACGAAGGCACAGTTGACACTGTTGGATGGTCGAGTCCCAGGATGTAATCGACTCAACTGAGCTTATCATTGTTCCACTAGGCACCCGGTTTGGTTGAGATCTACGAACTGCGTATTATACGATTAGTTTCACTTGTTTCCTGTCATCTTTTGGTTTCTCACCCGTGATGTGATGTACTACGCGCTGGTGACCTGGTGGCGCTGGTGGCTCCTTGACTTTTACCCATTGTACTTTTAAAGACCACGTCGTTGGTGCGTACAATTGGTCGATTTTGTTTGCTGCCTCCGAGATCCAGTACGTGCAGTACTTGGTTGAAAATAAACATGTAGTTTTGCCATCGGCTTGGCTTGGAAGTGTCGCGGCATCTGCTGCAGTTCAAGATTCCCCGGACCTGTAGTGCTGCACACTCAGCAGTTCCTGATATAACCTCGCCCGGACTGTACCTAAGACGGAGTAAAAAAATTCTGTCAGCAGTATCTCCAAAAATTCACATATGTAAATCTCCGAAGAAGTTTCTCGTTTGGTATGCGTATTTAATGTATATACTATTAAATAGCAAACTCTCTCAAAGCTTCAATGCAATCACCGTTAGTCCTTTTGTCTCATTGTCATGACTCCACTTGAAAAACTATGCGTCTCATACTACATGGGTATATTTAATCAATCCCACTAATATCTTTCCTAAGCGATAGTCACCATCTGTTGAACCACTGCTATCTATTTTCTGCAACAACATCCTCACATTTTGCGTTTCTATACGACAATGGTCTGTTGTCTCCACTCGTCATATGTTCTTCACTCCTGTGTATCGGCTCCCTTGCATATCACATACCGTCCGTAAACGCCTCCTGCAGCTGCATTGTTTGCTTGATCGGTACCATAGTAGGTAGCTCAATCGAACATTTGGTCATGAAATTTCTCTCTTCTGCTTCGAACTCAATTCAGCTGCGTCGGAGAAGAAGTGTCTTCTTGCCTTGAGTCGACTGACCGTTGCGTCACTGCATACGTCGTCTTCTAGGTCTCGAACGTTCCGGTGCGATAAGATGACGTGTTTTCCGTGCGATTATTTCGTGGTCATCAACGTCTTCTCCAGCAAGTACGCAAATTCTTTATCATAGACAAAGACACCGATGAGATGTTGTGTCAGTTGATACTTGTTACCGTTACCGACGTCGCATAGGTTTGGAACTTCATCAACTTCATAGCCTTTGTTCTCGAGTTTATTTTAGTGTCTCGGTTATCAACTTGAGTTTGAATTGCTTGCAAAGGTGTCTTGAGTGAATTCTTTGACGTATCAATCAATGCTTGAGTTTGTTGATCATTTGTTCTAGCTGTAAATCAACCAAACTGTTGTACTAGCATTCAAGCCTCCGTCTCTATTTCCACTCTTGTTCTTCTAGAGAATTGATTTCTTCTTCTGGGAAGAAATGCACTTGGCTCATAAGAACGAATAATTAGTATTTGAGATATCAGCTCGACGATATACACCACACGACAAAATTGAGGCCGTCAGATATCTAGCAAAGAAGGGTAAACACCTCACAATGGAATTGTAAAGGATTTGGTGCAGCGGGGCTGCCGTAGCTTGTTCCTTAGTGGAAGCTTACTAAGATCACCGACCTTACGTTTTATTCTAGAACCAGTACGAGTGTAGCGAAACGCAATCCTTTACACCCAAGAGTACCTAAAACCTTAACCCAGGGCAAATGTACTCTTCCGGTTAAAATTGAGACCGTATTTATCTACATTATTTGCGGCAGAGCCGCCTATATCTACAGCCTAAGTTTTTTTCAAATAAGAGGAATATGCATATCTACTTGCAGTCCCACCACGTAGTGGCTTCTTGTTACGGTGTAGCCACACCATTGTGTGATTACACCGACGTGTGTAATCCACACCTTTGTACAGTCATACCATCTTGCGTGACCCACCCTTTCATACCAGGATACGCGTAATCCCGTTACACCCCCCCCTTCAAAATTGTGAGTACCCTGTACATACAAAACTCTACCCACAAGTAAGTGGTGGATTGACCTTGCTGCAATTTCAAGATTTGATCGGTAGCTTGCATGTACACGAGCGAGACTAATATAAGCATGATGAGTTTGATTACGATGTCCGCGTAGTGTTTTTTTCAAATCAAGCAATAGATGATATCTTTGTCGGATGTCTGCTACGCTAAGGTTGTCTTGAAAAGCTGGGAGACGAATGAGGCGATGCGAATATGTGAAAAGCGAATGCAAACTCCTAAATCGCTCTTGCTAACATTCAGTACTAAACGTACAGCCATCATGAAGGTATGTATTCACCAGCCGCAAGTGTCTTACGACCAAGCGGTTTTCCTGAGTAGTGGTGGTGGCTTGTGGGGTTAGATTGCGCTCATAAAACGCTGTTCGGGTATTCGTTTCGTGTAAGGGTTCCTCCCAGCGCTGCGAGTAACTTCAAATGATCTGAAATCAATATCACGGTGTGGTGAGATCGGCATAAGTATTTGTGACTTTAGACGGGCAAGTCGGGCCCCCTGAGTTAGGCCAGCTTGTTGGAAACAAGCTAGACGTCGTCGTGAGTGTAGGAGTTTGGACTCGCAAAACGTCTTGTGGGTACAGAATTCGTAGCTCATGCAAAGAGTAGACAACGTATAGATTTCGCGACCTCCGCAATGGACGGCTTGCCATAAGTATGTAGGTTCGAGTCAGGACTCAAAGCTTCGATGCGACCGTTCTAAACGCGAAATACCTCGGTCTCTTCGACGATTTAATTGATTTCAGGCGGTCGGTCGCACTTTCTTTGAGGCTTGCTGAGCCATATGTCTGTGAGGAATCCCGATGCGACTACATATGCTCTTTGGAACAGCTATTGTAGGACCAAAATGGTGGAGTTGAACACTTAGCATGGTTGGTTAACGTCGATGTTTTACTCTTGCAAAATGCCTTCACACAACAAATGAAGCAAGATCACCAGTACTGTTACGGGGTACACGAACCCTAATAAGAGGGGTGTGTATGTCACACGAGATGTGCATCATGTGACCACACACCCAAACAAGAATAGGGTACGGGGCTAGGTAGCCAGTAGTTATGCATGTATTTAGATTTTACTATATATATTAGTATAACTAGGAAAATCGAAAGTTTTAAAATTAGGATAAAAAGATCAGTTTCGATTATGGACAGAAGTGTTCGTTTGCCTTGGTCAAGGATTTTAAGTACTTTTAGAGGCAGCGGATTGCGATCCGCTGCACTAGTTTTTGGTTCTTGTAAAAAACGAAAGGTCGGTGACTTAAAGACGCTTCCTCAAGTGCAAAGCTACGGCAGCCTCGCTGCAAGTACGGTCTACTTTCTAGTGGATGAGGATGTAATCTGTCCTATTGTGTACGTGCGCCTTATCCGAAATCATCATATCACACTTTTGCGTACTTGTGAAATTCAGGGGTACTAAACTTTTAATAATGGTGAAGATGATGTGACTCAAAAAGAAGAGGTCTGTGCTTCACGTGGGCTGTTAGCTTCACGTCACGCAAAACATGTACTTAGACGAATCAAAACACAGTTTTTGAGGGGCTAACCAGTCGCTTATAGGTTTGTCAACTTATTTCATTTATAAATTCAATTTTGCTGCTATCATTTCTCTTCGGCAAAATGTATATTTTGCTGATTTTACTTTCATAATGATTAATACTCCATATCTAATCAAGTATTAAATTTAACTACTGCTTCTTTCTATTCAAAAAACATTCATCTTTTAATCACTTCTTTAAAGATATATTGTTGCCTTGTTCATGTCCCCTATTAAGTGCACACTATCTTAGAAGAGCTGAAACTTCTAACTCGCCAACTGATACCGTAAAATTATTACATTCCTGTCCTATCCAGATCAATTTCTCCAACCAATCAAATCATTTCGCCTTCTTCCTGTTTCGTGGACTTATATCGCTCTCTCGTACAGCCAAACTTTACTACGTTCAATCTCCGACACAATGGCAGCGTCACTCCCTGAGGAAGTTGTACAGGAGTGTGACATCATGCAACTTGTGGACGGTGATGAAACGTTTTGTTGTAACTTTATTGATGCGTGTGGGGCTCCAGTAGCTTCGTCCCACGTCGAACAGCTACTGGTCAATTGCTCGGTAGGAGTGAGTATTACAACTGATGCGACAGTCTTGAGTGAATCGTGCGCAACTTCTGCTTGTGCCTCGGGTGGTGCTAGATGCTCAACGGCTACGGCCACGACGTCCCCAGAAGTAGGGACTACTATTCAGGACGACTGTGCTGACTTTCTATTGGATGGCGAGTTGTTTTTACGTGATATGGAAAAAGTGATAACATCAGATTTGGGAAGCTGTGAGAATCAGAAGAATCAAACCGCATTGGAACAGAGTGAATGTTTATTTGATATGAATGCATTCGCAGATTTGGAGTTGCTAGCATCTCCATCTCCAAGTGCGCCAAGTACGTGTACGGATGAGTCACCGTGCAAGACTGATACAGATGAGTTTGAGTTGGAAAGTCTGAAAGCTGAGGATGCTGTTCAGTTGCCTGAGCCGTCGATAGGCAATACATTACCTCCCATGTCCCCTCCTAGACCTCCTCATATGAATACAATTGTATCCGAGTCGTCTTATGTAAATAAAAATGACGACAATGTAACGATGTCTGGCATTTCTTCGTCGGGCGAGAGTAACGAGGAGGTCGACGATATGGAAGATGAGGATATGACAGTACGTTGCTATGAAGTTGCTTATTGTATATTTCAGATTATAAATTTAATGACATGTCTTATAGGATGAGATGAACTTGTTGGAAAAGGAAGCAACATATTTGGATGCTCAGTTAGATTTTTTACAGTCTAGAGCTAAATCGAGTCAACTACGAAGACAAAGTATCAAGCAGCGTCGATCACGAGGAACTGAATCAAATTTGCTGGCAAAGAGTCAAAAGGACAAACAGCTTTTAAATGAGCTCGTGATGCAGCAAAAGGTCTATCAGGACAATCTAAAAGCAATGCTTGCACTCGCCCCCGTTAACGAAGTGGTACGTGATTTGAAGATGCTCAGTAGTGTGCGCGACACTTATACGTGTGCTCTTGTGCGATCTAGCGGATGGCTCTTATGACACCTATGGAGTCATACATTCGATTGAGCAAAGATTTTGATGAACGAAGGAAGAAGCTGTTGTCTTTGCGGGAGGAGAAGCTTGATATGTCATATAGATTTATCGAGCAGAAAGCAGCTGGGCTTGACTATAACAAACCTTACCAGTACTCAGACATTTTTGAGAAATTCGGCAAGTATTATTGTGTAAACTTTTCTATCGCCAGATACGATGGCGTTAGCGTCTTTCAAGTTGGACGTGCTCTTTACGAACAAGTTGCAGGGATAGACGAAGCACTAAATAATGCAATGGGAAGCACTACGATTCGAGAGTCATTTGACACGATCAAATGCAACCTCATGCATCAGCGCATTGTGTCGAGTATGAAATGGGATGACGACGGTGCTGAAAGGATGCCGGATATGGAGTCAAACTCTATCTTTTACTGCAGATTTGGTGACAACTCGGCGGTGTTATCGACTGATTACATTGATCAAGACGATCTGCACCCATATGATGCGTCGAATCGCATCCGTAAGGATATTTCAAGTGGTGTGGTGCTATCTAGCCACACTGATAGTAATGGCATGAAATTTGTCGTGATGAAGCGATATTTGATGGCCAAGTACCACATGTACCCACACAATGTGTCGGAAAAGCAGCAGAAGCGCTTTTTCGCAAATATGCCCAGGCATTATGATGCAATGAAGTCGCTAAATCTCAATCGTCTTCAGCAAGACGAGGAGGTTTGTTATCCAGACAAGAGCTGCTGATAGACGAATGACAGAAGTCAGCCAACATCCAAGTGTTTGTGGTGGTGCCAATAACGCGGTATAATACCGTGCTTCATGTTTCAGCTGAGTATAAACAAAAAGAAAATGTGTGTTTTGAGATTGAATGGTGTGATCTATTTAGATTTTATGATATGATAGACGCAATGCATCAGTTAAAGCGTAGTGCTTAACATCTCCAAAATTGTCGTCGGTTTTGTAGATGGATAGAAACACCATGTAAATTCAGGCACTTTAGCACCATCAGGGGATCATTCGCAAGATTGTGGAATTGAGAGACTTCAACAAGCACTTGTAACCCTTCGTCACCGAGTAAAACTACAGCAAGAACTGATATTTATTCAACTCTCAACCATATACAAAGTCTCGCTATCGGTTCACTCATGCAGCTAAGTCTTGTCTTGTACGAAGGCAAAACTATTGTTGCTTTTTTCAAAAATAGCTCACTCTTTGGATGGACGCCATAATGAGCACTTCGAATCAATTCTTTTCCAATTTATTAACTCATCACCAACTAGATGTCGAGACTTCACGTGATCATTATCAGCAACGATATCGAATTCACGCTCTAGGATTCGTTGTGGTCATCATGATAATGGCATATTACACATACCCACTCAGCTCTAAAAGCCTACGTAATACATTCATTTCTCACAATACGACACATGATATTTTAGATCTGAACAAGGACTCGAATTTTTCCGAAACAGCTTTTGTGTCTATTGGAATGGGCTGTCCAGATTTTCAAACTGCTTATAACAGTGCAGAATCAGGAAGTTCTTTGCCATTTCGGTCTTTCACTTTGTTCAAAGGCAGTGAGTATGCTTTGGTGGAGCTTCACTTTACTAAACTCTGGTTGCCGAGTGCTGTCTCCGTTGTGCTTCGTGGTATTGAAGGTTATGATATCGAAGACCATGTGCTCAATCTTTCTTTAATCTATCCCAGTGGACCGAATTACGATCACGTGACCTCCCCACCAATGTTCACAAAAGAGCTGCGAATTGAGTTTTACCGCGAAAATAATAGCTTACACTCAAAAGAAATAAACAAGTCTTTTGTCGACACGTTCAAACGGGATTCGAAGTGTTTTGGATTTGCATTGGATTTATACGACTATGTTTTGGACGAAAACAATGATCCGATTATCGCGACGGGCGCGTCAATCTGCGCCACAGATAATACGGTCAACGCGATATGTTGTTACGCTGACAACACGACTCGAACTGCATATTTGGCTTCTCGGTCAGTGGCTCGTTTAAAGATCTCAAAAGGATTAAATGAGTGGGCATATTGTACGGGCTGGATGCTTGGGAATATGGGCCACATTTTGACAAATAATCATTGTGTGTCGACGATAATTGAAGCCAGCAGCACCAGTGTTGAGTTTATGGTGGAGGATCCGTTTTGTAGGGATGACTTTGGCGAATGTCCAGGTGACGTTATTGCTTTGTCAACAGAACTTGTTCTTACGAGTGTAAATTTAGATTATGCACTGCTCAAGATTCCAATAGATGGAGCTAAATGGGCACAGAAATATGGTTATCTGCGACTTAAGACGCGAGCTGGAGTCGTAGGGGAACTTCTATACATTCCTCAGTATCCTAAGGGTAGAAACAAACGTATTGCCATTGAAGATGATTATGCAAATAAAGTGGCTTTACTTAGCTTAAACGCTAGTGCATGTGGCATTGAAGGATATTCGTACAGTGGTGATACCCAGACGGGATCATCTGGATCACCTGTGATTTCCCTATCGGATCACGGAGTGGTGGCACTTCACCATTGTGGAAAATTGTGTGCCAATTCTGGCATTCCAGCCACAGCTATTGTCACTGATTTATATTTGAATGGTTTGGATGTAGCAGACTTCGATATGATCGACGATGAATCGACTTATGGAGCTAACGCCGCACGATTTGCAGAGTATACACCATCGATTCCTGAGTTCGTGCAGCCAAAAAGCATACGTTTGACCCTCGACGGTGCCATCACCATAGCATCGGGGTCTGCAACGATTGATATGGTCAATTTTACACTATTGAAAGACGCAGACATTTCGTTTGCCGTAATTTCCGTCGAGATCGCTGACAATGGAACATTCATTGACCTGAATCACGACTGTCGTGCGACATACTTGGATTCGGTTCTTTATCTGTTCTTCGAAAATAGCTCCGTACCCATATTCTTCCTTGACGACTGTAACCTCAATGAACACATTGAAGGAGGGTCAGTCAGCTTTCGTGATCCACACAAGCAGATATACCTCAAAATGGGTTCGTATGCGCTCGTAATTGCAGCAACCGGATCAAACCCTGAAGATGTCTTTGCGAGAAAACAAATATTTAATGATAGTCTCGAAATTTACTCCTGTCGTTCTCGGAGTTCGTATGGTTCCTATCGCCTTCAGATATCTAGCACTGTTGGTGACAATCCTTTTAAGTTTACAAGTATACCACCGACGGTCACAATCAATCCTAAGGAGTGTCAAAAATCAGCTAAAGAGATTTGTTTTGATGTTGAAGACTAATGACATGTCAAAACGCCGGTCAAGGAGAACACATTTTCTAGTTAGCATACTTTGGCGAAATAAAAATGCTGGTGCGAGGCGAAAATTGCCTAAATAGATTAAATTGCTGAAAGCTGTAACAGCAATCGTCAAACGGCTTTGATTGTCAGATCTTTGCATCAGACCAACAAGAATCGTGCGTTGGCAAAATTGCTTTACATCAATCGATCATGATGTCAAAGAAAAGCAATTTTTGCAATCTTGCTCGTTGCGAATACGTTAAAAGATAATTTAAGCGAAACACGGAGCTACTAAGTGGATGTTTCCTGAATAATCCTTTTAAGACGTACGGGAGATGTATTTCATGAGTCTACATTCTGATAACGGGCGGAAATTTTGAAAGTCATTAGACGAGCAGCAAGATGTGGAGAAGTTGCTTTGCATCGCAGATTTTATTTAAGAAATCTCCAGCAGACGTGTTGACAATGTATCTACGTAATGACCACAAAGTTTTAGCAATCCCGTTCCATTTAAGTACATCACACACTGATGGAGGCTATGCGACGACGCACAATCTCACGCACCCTCAAAGCGCCTGAAACAATAAATGGATGCATCACATGTAATCTCCTAAGCTCTTGCAATCAAGCATTGACAGCCCGTCGTATTGACTGCACCTCAACCTCCCCCCAGCTAGCAATTCCTTCTTTTAGCGATCTCATGGCACTTTTTGATATCTCAAACTCAGGTTTGTGCAATTTCAAAAACGCAGCACGCTGCATCACAACTACAATTTCTTCGTCGACTTCATTTTTCGAATTCCTTTCTGGAGAGAAAACCTTCGTTCCTGTGCAAATTTGCTGCTCGCTCGCGTTCGACATTGATCGCATGCACTTCATCTTTGTCAACACAGTTGTGGCACTGATATCTCTTCGCACCCTTTCGTGTGGATAATACGGATACAATGCATCCACATCGACACTATCTGTGACTACGACAGCACAAGACTCATCCCCCATTTCCGTCAACTTGTCAAAATACTCAGTCAGCACGACTTTGTTTACTTCCGACGTAATTCCATGACTATCAGTCGACAACAATCGATAATTCCAAATAGACGCTCCGTCATCCACAGTATCATAATCCTCACGTACTGTTGTATGTCCTAAAGCTTCGGAGATTGTAATTTCCATATTAAACATGAAATATTTGATAGCTTCAAAAACTTGCTTGATCGACTGGACGCCAGTAAAGTGAAAAAACTCGAACCTCTCACAGCAAAAATTGCCCTGAGCATCTTCGTATCGACGGTCCATGAGCTGAGGCTTCATAAGATCCAAATACTGACTACGTGCTACTACATACTGACAGCCTCTTGAGATCATGTCGCTCTTGAGACTTAAAAGTACTTGGCGTCGCTTCAATGTTTCTCGTGGAAGGTGGACAGGTCTACACAATGGACTTCCCGTCAGCTTCTCCTATATAGCACCGAGCAATCAGATTTGACGTCATAAACTCAAGTTTAAATTAAACAATCACTTGACCTGCATACCGGCTAACGTAGAATAAGTCCCAGCCAAAGCCAGCTGCTGACCATATATTATCTCGCGGAGAGAAGTGTTGGCCCTTGTGACGTCTAAAATTTGAGATTTGACACTACGTGGACGAGCCTGAAGCCGATTTATCTCCTGTTGAAGCTTTCGCAACTGTACCTTGAGACGCTTAATTTCATCTTGTCGGACCAGGTACGACGGTCTGCGGCGCCTATGATTATCGCTTTGCATTTTACGTTCTAGAACACACAGCAATTTCTTGTGTGCACCATATGCACTTGCTATGTAAATTTTTCAATGTTAAAGCTATCTTTTGCTCCTTATTATACTTCGTAATTGGTCCGACAAAAGCTACGTCTCTTTTCCAGGCTCTGTTTCAGCATCAGTGGCTTTCCACAATTTGCTCGCAGTACACCCAACAAACTCTGATTCAATAATCCAAACGGTCAAAAGGACTCCAATGCAACTACACTCTTTACAGTCGATAAATTCAAGTATCACAGATAAGGATACCTTGAGTGTGACGGGGCACACGGCACCTTGCACAGAGGAAGCTTGACTTCCAAGAGTATACAAACTCTAAGTGAACAGCAGATCACAGTCAGAGGAACGTTAACCAAATTTAGGTAGTTTTAAGACTGAATATATTTATAGGTGT